GACAATCTTCACTTGCTTATTGAACGGGTAATTAGGCATATTCCTTAAAATTGTCCATCTTTTCTTCCATACCCTAAAAATTCGTTCAATGATGCTCCTAAGAGAAGAATGCATGTGGTTAAATACCTCTTTATGACCCGTTGGTTCGGGACCCCTACGAAAATCCGGGAGATGATATCCTTCACCTTTATATGGTCCCAAATAACCTCCCATTTGTGGGTACCCCACATCTACCAAGTAATATTTTCCTGAAAATTGAAAATTTTGTTTTGTATTGTAATAATTATACAAAGCAAGTATGTAAATTGTTGTAAATTTGTCCTATAGATTCCTCTCTTGTCTCTGGTGGTAGTACCCCAGATAAAGGTGCCTAGGCATGTTCACCAATAGCAACTGTGTTCGAGAACATCCTATCTAACTTGTCCTCCATCTCAAGACTAATTCCCTTTTTTCGTTATCTTCCATATTCTTTGTTTAAGTAAGAAAGAATATGGTTAATACATATTGCATGATATTATAATACATATTAAAAGATAAATACACAAACCTGAATTTTATTATTCCACCACTCCTCAGAGGCATCAACAGTACCCTTGCTCAAATTCCACCCTAGGCCAGTTTCTTTACCAACTAGCTCTTTCCACAACTTCCACTCATTTTTAAGTGCATCCCACTTATTTTTTAGTTGCTTTCTTTCATAATCATGCCCACTCTCTGCCTTGAAGTTAGCTCTCTAATATTTGCATATCCATCTTTGTCAAAGTGAGTGCCCAGACGATGTTCGGCCTCAACCTCCTTGATGCATACATCACAAAATATAGATATATTGTGGGCATTCCATGTAGCTGTAGGATTTGATGAAGATGCCCTCTTCTTTGCCATCGATACCAACTAGTGATTTGTATACATACATACATACATACACACACACACACACACACATATATATATATATATATATTAAAACAAGAACGTATGATATTGTAATATAAACCAGAAAGCATTATGTACATGAAAGAAACAAATGAGCATACACAGTACATGAAAGCATTATGTACATGAAAGAGACAAATTGGACTCTAAGAATACATAGTACATGAAAGCATTAGGTAGTTGTAAGAACTAGATTCAAAGACTTTTATTTGTTACAAAAATGCGTCATCTTCACTTACAGGGATTCTTTCTATATTTATAAATCTAGACTTAGTGTAGATAAAAAGTTAATGAAATTAAACCCTACAAAGTCAACCAAACGAAATTCACAGAACGGATGAAATTCACAGACGTCTTCACATGACCGAATAATAGTCATGGAAGCAGAAATACATAAGGCCTAACCTAACTGCATATGGAAGTCAGCACAAACGATAGCAATCGTTATCATTTGGGGAAAGTTGGAGCTTCGATCTGTGCTTAAAGCTGCATATTCAATTAATGCAAGCAGAAAATTCCAACAACAATCGAAATAAGGAGAAACAAATTATTTCGTTTTCTAGCTGAAATAGTCAAATTCATCCTACAAAGTTTCCAATATCTCTCTCACACAAACAAATTCAAATTCCCAATTCGCATCTCGCGATCACCAAGTAGCAGAGAACAAAAGAAAAATTGATGTAACAATTGAACCAAAAATGAGAAATAGCAGCAGCCAGAAGCATGCTCAGGAATTCCATTACACAAAGGCAAATTAAATCAACAACAATACAAATTAAAGGGGAAGTAGAAGAAAAAATGGACCTCCACGGAAGGCGGTCCATTTGCATAATCCTAATTTCTATACACAATATATATGGTGATTTGTTGTCATTTGCATAATCCTAATTTCTCTACTATTCATTCTTTAGCTCATTCATTCCCCAGTCAAAAGGTTTCTTCTATCTTTGTTGGCCTAAAAAGAAATAGAAAGGAAAGCCACCAAATAATTTGAACACAGAGCACTCTGCACTGCTACAAAAGGAGCATTTGGAATAAGACGAGGAATATCTACCATTAATGGTAGACAAAAGACCAAAATTCAAGTCTCCAAGTCCATGATATTTTTCATATCATAATTGGTGATGAATGATAAGAACATGTTAATTAGCCCTAAAACTTACGCAATTTAATTTTAATGTGTTTATTACAGGGTGTTCATCGAATCTAAACATTCACATACAGCATACACATTCTCCCCAACCAAGCACAACAAAAACACAAATAACTCTTTAATCCAAAACAAAATTTAAGGAACATGAATAGAGAAGTAATCAATTTTTCTTCTCTCTCAAATTTTCTTGTTTCCTCCACAAACCCTAATTTTTTTCCCCAATTTTTTCTCCATCCCTAGTTTTCCCGACACCCATACACTCATCCCTTCGCTCTTCCCACCCCTCTTTCACTCTCCCCATCCCCAAATTAAAAAATCCAAACAAATAAATAACAAAATTTTAGAGAAGAGAAGCTTACCAGAGGAAGGAGGGAAGGTGACAGCTGGCGCTGAGACCGACGGAGAGAGAGGAAAAGGAGGAAGAGGAGAAGAGGTGCAGTGTAGCTGCAGGCAACAAAGGAGAAAAGGGCGTGCTGAATGTTCTGCGATTTCAGAAGGGCATGCGAGAGAGAAGGCAGAGAGAAACGAGGGTAACATTGGCAATTTGAAATTTTCATTAAAAGAATTATTGTAGCTCCGTGTTTTGACAAGAAGCTGTTTTCTGAAGCTACTTTTTGCAGCTTCCCATTTTAGCTTTTTTTCATCTGAAACTTTCAAGAAAAGCTGGTTTGGGGTGTTTACCAAACACCAAAAACTCTTCCAGCTTTTTTTCATAGCAGCTTTTTTTTAAATCACCTCAACCCCAAAATGGGGCTAAGTTAAGTTGAAAACGCCATTCTCTTAACGTACTACATAAGAAAGAGTAATAGGTTGAGTTCTAACATTGAGCCAACTTGAGCATCTTCATCCAGAAATAAAAGGAATTTGAATAAAACATAACATGTTTGTATGATTATTTGATGGTGGATAGCAATTCCCCTAACTCGTTTTTATTCATTTGAGAACTACTTAAAATCTATTTCTGTTCTGTTTTTGTTCGATTTAATTTAAATAGCAAATCAACTCCAAAAATCCCAAAAATTTGTGTAAGTGTAGGTCTGTATGTCTAGTGTCTGCATATAAAATTTCCTAGACTTTAGATAAGTATAAGTCGGTCTAATAATTAGTGGCTGGTCAGTAGCAACAGTAACCCAGTTTTTGTGACATTTTAAGTAATTGGATAAAACAATCTTCTGCAGGAAAGACCCTTATTTTCATATGCTACAATTGACAAATCTTAGTGTTAATAAGGAAAATCAATAGGACATTTGTGAGCTACTTTGTGGTGTGCTTTTAATCCTATCATAACACTTGTCTTATAGTTTCAACCCGCAATTTCAAATAATTTATATGACACTATAGATTCTTCAACTTTCAAGACGGTAACATAATCCTAAACAGATCAAAGTGGTTAATGAATTGTGGCTCAATTTGAAGCAACACATCCATTCTTTGTTATTGAAAATAATCTAATGTTTTGAAGGATTAACAATTACAGCTTCTGAAAGCATAGGCCACAGCCACACCAGAGGGCAGCAGTCTTTCATGCGTAATCCCACTGTAGGATACTTGAAGAAATTGCATTCTTAGAGCAGTTAATTTCTGGTCTATAGCATGAAATTGCAGAAAAATAAGTGTGTGCCTCCTCTCGAAATTTACAAATGCACCTCCGAATTTCTATTCCCTATCATACCCATAAAACACATACAAGCGAGAGAACATTCAAATAAAGAGAAAATAGTTGCTGAGAAAATTCAGAAAAAATAACGGGAACTGAAACTCGCTTACCTGCCTCGACGGTGACCAGCAAGTCTCTCACAAGTCTTGTTTAATTGAAGCTAATTTTAGAAGAACAAAGGACAATCAAAATCGTGGTTCACGATTCCAATTCCCCTTTCTCTGCTATCCCTAACCGAAATGAAGTACAAAAATCACAGGAGACAGAGAGAGAGTCCCAGTACCTCTTGCTCTCTTTCACTCTCTCTTAAACTTGCTCTGTGTGTTCTGGTCTGCGACTTATAGGCTTAACGGAAAACACAATACATTTGTTGCTTATGTGTTAACTCTTAGTGAGAGAGGAGATAACAGGAAGATATTAACAATCCCAGCCTTTTTACTTGAAATTTAATGAGATCAAATATGAATAATATACAGAAAGTGGTGATTATGCTAGCTAAATAAATATAATTAAATGCTTACTTCCTCTCAGAGGAAGTCTAGAACTGGCCTATATCCATCCTGAATTTAAACCTTCACAGAATACATGGACAACTAGACAAGTATACCTGATGAGAGGTATGCCACTTTTTTAAGCAAACTCGAGCCTGATTATCTCAGCGCATCTTTATCTGTATGTTAGAAAATAAGCTGAGGAAAAAATCTGCTTTTATTAGCACTTCAGTGCTCAAACTTGACCAGAAAATTTGTTTTTCTTGACTTCACTACTATCACCAGCTCTCGAAACTCGTCAGATTGGAAGCAGGAAATGCATGATATAACATGGGTGGTGCTATACAAACACCCATTTTTACCTCTCACACGCCTGTCTCAATTTCCGACTGTTAGATCAAATGAATTGATGAAGATCAATGGATGAAAATTACAATGGTGTGCGAGAGGTAAAAAGGGGTGTGTGAATAGCACTACCCTATAACATTTAGGGACCCTAACATTTGTAATGTTTGAAACCTTACAAATAAAGAAGATCGCATTTGCCTAATAACTACTAATTGCACCGAGTTCATTGTGATTTCAAATCCATTTGAGATTTTGAATGCATATATTTGGCGGCTTTGCATTCACAATAAATGGAGTATTCTCTTAATATTACTTACGTATTCATCAAAGCATTGCAAAAACACAAACAAAATGGAAGTGTCAAAATGTATCAAATGGACATGGAAGCAAGCTGACGAAAACAACTTATAAAACGGACTAACAAGAACAATTTTTTTTTCTTTCTATTTTCTGGTCTCAAATGATTACATTATCCAATTCATTGTTTCTGGATGGATCACAAGCAATTACATGTGCAACAACGAGAGAAAGTTAAAGGAACAAATACCTTTTAATTTGTATACAGATCTCATGCTACAAAACATTAGCTTCCTCTTAATGTAATCTTTCTCTTACCAAAAACTAATGGACTATCAAAACATCAACAAATTTGTAGCTGTCCCAACAACAAAAGGCTCCATTAATAACCGAGTCAAGAAGTAAAAAACAACACCCAAAATGATCGATATGGGCAGAGCCGGCAAAGCCCGATGGTACACTGACAACAAAATAAGAGTGCACCCAAGTCCCGAAATAATGGCAAGATAACAGGCATACACAGTCATAAGGTCATACATTGCAGCTCTGCCCACAAGAACACTGTAGAAAACGAAATCCCCTAGACCAAGTTTAATACCTTTACTGAACATTTCGCTACCTTCCCTCCTCAATTGCTCTCTCTCATTCTCCAATCCTGTCGTTTCAACAAGAGGAGACATTTCCTCGCTAATAATTTCAGATGCCCCACTGCCATATTGTGTAGCTCTATCGGACTGAACAATCATACTCGAATATCTCGAAGAACCACTACTTGGCGACGGCCTACCCCGTGAATTATCCTCCAATAGTAATCTCTCCCCTTCATCTCTATTACCCTCACCTTCCTCATTCGCGACCTCAACATCAACAGAGGTATACTCAGAATTACCACCATTTTCATTCTCATTTTGATTCCCATTGCCCCTGGGGACTGCCTGAAGCTCCACAGACCCAGAATCCGAAACCCCAGCAACCAAAAGCTCCAAACCGGTCCCACGACGCCCAGAATTTGGCACAGTTGGGCGGGCCTCGTAAATCAAAGCTGGGAGCTCTTCATCCCGGCTAGAGGCCAACTCCACCAAGAGCTTAAGTGGGCCGCCCGGTGCCAGCACGGCCACCAAATCATAGACGGCCAGCGCCACAAGCAAAACCCAAGTCGTCCATTCGGGCAACTTGGTAAACCAAGCCGCCACAATAATCCCCAAAGAAACCATATAAGCTTGGCGTAGAAAAATGGGTACACCGCCGGAGAAGACGGACAAGACCCCCACAACAGTGAAATTGAAAAGCAGCAAAAAGCAAGTAATGGAGTCGATGGGTATGGAGAAATGCTGAACAATGGACAAGAAAATCGAACCTCCCATGGTACCCAGCACGAAAAAGGCGGAGAAGCGCATGTAGTTCTTCAAAAAGTTGGTGAAGTTGTAGTAGTAGAGGAGGACGAGGAGGAAGGTGACGACGGCGATGAGGACGACGAAGACCAGGGCGTTGAGGAGGGCGCCTTCGAGCTTTTGGGCGGCGGAATCGGTGGGGGTCTCGAGGTAGACGAGGTTGGCGGCGGTGCGGATCGGAGGAGCGGAGGCGGAGAAGGGATTGGAGGGAGAGAGAGCGTAGACTAAGAGAACAACAAGGAGCATGCAGATCGAGACTGGGGACATGACGCCGATGATCTCGACGCCGATCGACTCTAGGATGCTCGACTCCATCCTGGGATTTCGACGGTTGGGGCTTTCCGTCGAGCACTTGGTAGGCGTGGGGCTGTGGGTGTGAGTTTGGTTACCGCATTTTCACTTTGCGGGAGTTTTAGGTTAAATTATAAACCACAATCTACAAATAAAATAAGCACTCGTGCCATTCTAACTTGTGGCACATGTAGTACAAGTCACCACTCAAAATTCAGAGTCTTGATTTACGTAATTTCGTGGTTATGATCAGAAATGATCATTTCATAAATTATTTTGTAAAAATTATTTTTTAGAAAAATAATTAAATAGACTATTCATTTAGTCAATTAAACCCAACATTTGGGTTGACTCAGCAATAGTTTCATATAATCCGAGCCGTTCACTTTGTAGATCTTCCTTAAAAGATCATTTTTACAAAACGTCATCTAAATCATAATGTATTTTAGAATCGGTTTGATTCAAAAAAATTTAAAAATGAATGTAAAATCGAACCAAACGAAATTAGGCAGTCTGTTTAGTTGGGTTTTTTATTTTGTTGGTAGAAACACACATCTCCAACTAGTTATGACTTCAAGTGCATGTTTTGATAAATTTTTGGGTAAATTACACCAAATTACCTTAACTATAAGTCGAACCACAACCTTATACCTTATGTTTTAAAAAAAAAATTACAATGTCATACCTCATCTTACGAATTTGTCAATATGTCAAACCTCCTTCAATTTTTCTGTCAATTTCTCTGTTAAATGCTGACGTGGCTTGAGACGGGACCTACACTGAATTAAAAACTTCATTCAATATTAAAAAAATAAAATAAAATCATTTAAATATTTGGGTGGGTCCCACATTTTTTATAAAAATATTTAAATGATTTTATTTTAAGTTTTTTAATATTTAATTAATTTATTAATCCAATTGAGCTAAGGAGTGGGCCGCACTCAATCCACGTAAGCATTTAGTAGAGAAATTAACAGAAAAATTGACGAATGTCTGACATTGCAACAAATTTATAGGATGGGTTATGATATTGTAATTTTTAAAATATAAGATAAGAGATTGTGGTTCGACCTATAATTGAGATAGTTTTATGTAATTTATCCAAAAACTTTTCAGTTGCAATATAAGAAGACAAATGACTTTAACACACAGCTGTATGCCTCTTAAACCCTTATGTTTAATACTGATTCTTAATTTCGTTTGATTTATTTAGTCTCCAACATATTTGATAATGAACTAAGTTTGCGAAAATTTACTATGATCTTGTTTATATGACATTCACCGAATGAAATAAAAATAAAAATAAACTAATGAAAATAGTTTGAAAACTTTGAATTTTAACGATAAGGACAAAATAAACGGTAAATTAAATAGTACCAGGTTTGACTTTTTAATGTAAAAATATAATTTTTCGTTAAAATAAATAGTACTATAAACTTTTCTCTAAAACTTCTATAAAAAAAAATTAGATGTGCAGCCAAGGATTCATCGATCAACGACCAGCGCGCACTAAATAAATCCCATAAGTTTGTAGGAGCAAAATAGAAATACCAGAAGTTAGCGGGTCACAACTACAGTCAAAATAAAGGAAGAAAATTGCAGGTTTGGTTTTCGCAAAGACAGAGGCCCTAGGGTTTAAGGCAAGGTTTTTGCTTCCTGTCGTCTTCAACCTCTGTTGCACTCGCACCTTGCTCCGAAAACGACAGCGTTTGGCTGTTGAACTGCCATGGCAACCATTCAAGTAAGCTCTCAAATTCCTCTTTCTCTCTATTACTAGGGTTTATTCAATCACTGTTAATGCTCTTCTGTCGTTTGTTGATGAACAATCAAACCCAGAAAATGACCTAAACTCTTCTACTCCCAATCCCAAAATGCTTCGCCGCCTTGCCATTTTTACCCACCAAGTTCTCGCAAATTCCAATTCTATCCTCCCCACCACCACCAAGCACAACAGCACCTTCTTCCTCTGCTCCCATTTCAACCCTTCATGTCACAGGGGCACTGGGTTCGCCTCAATTCGCTTACTTTCGTACTCTCCTGTGAACCGCCGCATACCTGATCCCGAAGACCCCTCGAATTTGATAAAAGAAGATGGCGTTTCTGTTTTATCCCAAATGTGGATTGAGAATTTTCGTGAACCTGATAGGATTGTGACTAATTTGTCCTCTTACCTTCGCCGATTCGAGTTGTGGGTATTGGCGTACCAGAAGGTTTGCGCCGACGAGATGGGTGCGTATATGCCCCGCAGTGAAATACAGAGGTCAGCGCTTGAGGACTTGTTAGCGCTTCGTAATGCTGTTCTTGACAGTAGGTTTAGGTGGGGTGCTAGACTAGAGTTCTTTATTAAATCACCCAAGGATAAGACTGAATACGAGTCTTTGTCTAAGAGGAAAATTAAGGCCATTCTGACGACTACACAACCGGCCCCATTTCAAGATAAGTTAGTGCAGGAAGTTCTGTTAATGATTTTGGAGCCAATATATGAGGGTCGGTTCTCTCAAAAGTCATTTGCGTTTAGGCCGGGGAGGAATGCGCATACAGTGTTGAGGGTGATTAGGAGGAGTTTTGCAGGGTACTTGTGGTATATAAAGGGCGATTTGAGTACTATATTGGATGGGATGAAGGTGGGTTTGGTGATAAATGCTTTGATCAGGGATGTGAGGGATAAGAAGATCATTGATTTGGTGAAGGCGGCGTTGGTTACACCAGTGGTTACGAGTAAGGATGATGGAGTGGAGAAGAAGAAAAAGAAGAGAAAATATCAGAAGAAGAGGGTGTTAGCAGAGGATGAGCCGAAACCAGACCCATATTGGTTGGAGACTTTTTTTGGGTTTGCACCTGAGGAGGCAGAGAAGCTTCCTTCTTGGGGCCATTGTGGGATACTTAGCCCCCTTTTTGCTAATGTTTGTTTGGATGAACTGGACCGCTGGATGGAGGGGAAGATTAAGGACTTTTATCATCCGTCAAAGAGTGATGTCATATGGAATAGCCCGGAAGGTGAAGCAGAACATGGAAATACATCTTGGCCTGAATTTGTGCCAACAAGTGGCCCAGATAAGACCAGAAAGATGGATTACGTTCGATATGGTGGTCATATTTTAATTGGTGTTCGAGGACCTCGATCAGATGCTGCCACATTGAGAAAACAATTGATTGAGTTTGTTGATCAGAAGTATGTGCTCAAGCTTGACAATGAGAGCCTCCCTATAGAACACATAACAAAGGGAATAATGTTTCTAGATCATGTGTTGTGTCGCAGAGTTGTGTACCCAACGCTTCGTTACACTGCAACTGGTGGGAAAATCATTAGTGAGAAGGGTGTAGGCACTCTTTTATCAGTTACAGCAAGCTTGAAACAGTGCATCAAGCAATTTAGGAAGTTGAGCTTTCTTAAGGGAGACAGGGATCCAGACCCACAACCTTGTTTCAGAATGTTTCATGCCACCCAAGCTCATACTAATGCACAAATGAACAAGTTTCTGTCCACAATGGTTGAGTGGTATAGATTTGCAGATAACCGGAAAAAAATTGTGAACTTTTGCTCTTACATTTTAAGGGGTTCACTTGCGAAGCTCTATGCAGCAAAGTACAAGCTCCGTTCACGTGCAAAGGTGTACAAGATTGGTTCGAGGAATCTGAGTCGTCCTTTGAAGGAGAAGAAGGGGCAGTCACCTGAGTACCATAATTTGTTGAGGATGGGTCTTGCCGAGTCAATTGATGGGCTTCAGTATACCAGGATGTCTCTTGTTCCTGAGACAGATTACAGCCCTTTCCCAAGTAACTGGAGGCCCGATCATGAGAAGGCACTACTTGAATATATAAGGCTTGATGATCCAAAAACTATTGAGGAGCAGCGTAGGTGCATCATGGACCAAGGTCTTGTTTCACCTCAGGATTACGTTTCAATGCTTGTTTGGAACTACAAAAGGAATGCTGGCACGTTGGATCAACTTTCCTTGGTCAATAGTGGTAGCACTAACATTGAAAGAGATAAACTATTGCTGCTGGGATCGAACGAGGATAAACTTGAGCATAGGACTAAAGAAGAGGAGGAAAATGATAAACAGTTTTGTGTATCACAGATGTAAAATTTTTACTGCCACAGTAATAAGGTAAAGTTATTCATGTGGCATGTCATTATGTTGGCTCTTACTGGTACGCTTGCTGGCAAGTTATAGAAATGTTAGCTGTATCGTTATTAGGGGAATGGTATATGGTTAGCTATTCTTTCTTATCAAGTTTACACTTTCTACAACTTGCACGTATTTTCCTTTTGAGCGCAGAAATTTCTTGTTCATCATTTGTTCAATTGTCTTTTTACAACTTTCAGTAATCTGTTGAGTTTTCGATTCCATAATTTCTTCTGTTTCCTTTTTTCACTTTTTGGTATGTAGAATAACATGCTTGATATTTTACTTTATTGCCAATGCTGGAGTTGTTGTCATTTACAAATTTGATCTAGGAATTATCATCTTGTGGTCAAGAAATGAAAGAGATGAGTACAGTTACAAACACTTTATGAAACTGTAAGTACTCAGCGTGAATTAACTTACAAACAACCATTAATAAAAAGGGAGCTTTAATGAAAAGGATTTGGTCCAACAAATATTAAAAAAAAAAAAAAAAAAAAAAAAGAGGAAAACATCTCAAAATGTTATTTAATCAAAAAGGCTCAAAGTTTAATAAAAAACCATCCAAAACTATTATCCACGGGTCAAACTTACAAGTCCAATCCGCTACAAATCTGCACTTTCGTAAATATCCCTAAATGATTCGATATTGTACTGACTCTTCATCAACCTCAATCCAGCATGAAACCGCCATAATAACTCCATGTCTTCCTATCAAATCGAATTCCCCCATTTCAAAAACAACCAAATCAAAGTTAAAATCAAAGTTGAAAAAAGAAGCATTCATCGGAATAAAGCCGCCAAAACAAGTTCAAAGAAGTTTAATGGTAGAAACCGGCGAAAAAGTGTCCGGAAAAAAAAAAAAAAAAAAAAAAAAAAAAAAAACCAAAACATAAAACTGTTTCTGGAAAAAAAAAAAAATAGATACAGTGTTTGTTTGGTCTGTGCACAAACAAACATTGTATCTGGTAAGAAAATAACCAAAATCCAGAAACAGTGACTTAAATTTCAGAAATAGTGACTTAGATTCCAAAAACAGTCTATGTTTTAACCTTTGAATGTTTCTTTTCTTTCATGCATCAGTTGATTATATTTAAGAAAGGGAATTGTTATTGGCACTCCAAATTTCTCATTCTATACTTCAAACTTTCTATATTTAGAAAGAAAAATACACTTTTGAGGAGTGTAAAATGAGACTTTTGGAATGCCAATAACACTTCCCTTAAGAAATAGGGTGCTTATTTTGCTTTGAATCCAAATACAGTGAATTTTACTATTTCTTTTCTAGCTTACATTTAAGAAACAGTGTGTCTATTTCATTTGAATCTAGAAACAGTAGCTTAGATTCCAGAAACAGTTTATTTTTATAGTCCAGAAACAATGACTTGTCGCTATTATTGAATTGCATGCATATCTTAAATTTATTTTCTGGAGAAACAAACGATGAACTACACTGACGAAGAAAACTTGAAAAACAGTATCTCGAATACACTATGAATAATAACGACGATCACATTTCAATGAATTAATACAAAATATAAATTAAATATCATGAAGATCTATATTTTTGTTTCAAAGAAAAAGAAGAAGGTCTGCAAAACAACGATGAACTTCATTAACAACGAAAATCTGTAACTTAACCTAAAAAAGTTAGGGGTAAAATCGACAAATCATAATTTATTATCGTTGGACCATTTTTAGTTGGACTACTTTAATATGGGTCTTGTACTAATCATTAAACAAAACTTATAACATGGTTTTTTATTAAAACTAAAACTTTTCAAGCTTTTTTTCATTAATTTTCCTTATATAATGTAGATTTCCTTTTGTTTTGTCAGTCTGTTCATTTATAGCACATGTTTTCTGTATTAGTGTTGTTCTTTTGAGATCAAATGCAACTATACTAACCCGCGATGCATAGAAGAACTGAGAATTAATGGACAAACAAGGATTGAATTTGCCTCTCTACCATATCCGTACAAATAGGCCTGACATATTTAACATTCTTAAGGAGTAAACTAGTTGTGTAAGTTCCAAAATCTGGAAAATCATGTTATTTGTCCGTACGCTGTGTGATATCCTTCTAGATTACCTTTTGATTTCATTCAACGTTGCAGTGACTTGTTTATATTTCATTCAACATGTTGTCCATATAGATGTCGAAATTAGTGTCAATATATCTTGATATGTTGTTGAGTATCACGCTTCTTAAATGGTGAAGAGGGATCCCTTTGAGAAGGGCCTCATGTGATCAAGCAATCTACTAGTAGTGTGGGAGATTTGACATATGAAGTAAAGTGCCTTGAAGCTTCTCAGATTCAGCCCCACGCATGATCAACTTTTAGACGAGCCTTTTTCTTGTCATAAAATTTGTCATATGGCAGGCCAAGCCAATAATATGTGGGGATGCTTATTAATTTAGAAAAATGTTATCCACACACTTATTTTTACTTTTTATATACATTTGTTAATTTTTTTGTCATTAATCTTCTTCAATTCATTCGATCTAGGGATCGAAAATTGAAAAGGATGTGAGAAGTAAAAACGAGGGTGTGGATAACACTACCTTTAATTTAATGTCCAAAAACTTAGTTTTACATTCGATTATACAAAAAAAATATTAACAAATAATTTGATTATTAGGATCATATTACAGCACAAAGTATGTTTCTTTAGCTGCGTATAACGGGTATATACAAAGGAAGAGATATGTAACTCAGTTGGCCAAGACATTTACCCCTTGCACCCTAATTCCGAGCTCAATTTTCCTTTCCATCAATATCGCTTGTGCAATAAATAAAATATCATGTACGCAAGAATTAAAAATCCAGATAATTGCTGAGCTCTTATTCCACCAGAGAAATAATTAGGTTGATGTAGCCTTCGAGTAATTGAGCAAGTGATTTATGCAGAGTACAATATCACATAACTGAAAAAGATGGTAATTCTCATTTGTCAATGGAGACACTTCACCTTCCTTCTCCTTAAACCCATCCTCACATGTAGTTGTTGCTTCCATGACTGTACTCACCCAGGTATTCGCCATGCCGTAATCCTCACTCAGAAATGCTCCGACCGCATCCGCCAACGTTGTGATCGCGTCCGAGTATAGCTGCAAGCAATCCTTCAAGCAAACCAGAGCAAAAGGATCCAAACTTTTGTTATTCGACAACTCCTTTATGGTCGAAAGCGTGTTGGTTGCATTGTGCAGTGCCAGCTCCATTGCTATCACTGCTAGTCCTTGAAGATTAGTCACATGGCTGACAGGCACTGCTTGGAGAGAAGCTGCACAAACGTTGTAGCTAAGCACGTCGGATTCAGCTGCGCATTTTTCGCAGGTTTGGGTGATTATGTCAACGGATATTGCAACGGCGGGGAGTTTTTCGTGAGGAATCGTCAGGAAAAACAAGAAGCAGCACAAAGAGATTGAAAAGGAAGAAATGCGATGCATTTTTCCTTTGCTTTTGGCTTTCTTGCTAATACCAAGTGAGGTGTGTATGGTTCTAAAAATGGAATCTGGTTTGCAGAAAAGTATATAGAGGAAGCTTCCTGGATTTGTAGTACTTGTTCTCTTTTTTCTTCTGCTTCCTTGTTAACTGATCACGCAATCTATTATACTAGTTAACTGGTGTACTGATGTGTCAGTTTCTTCTTTTTTAACAATGCCGTATTCTATTTTAGACTGCTTTAATTAACGGAAAGTCGGATTCAATCTTGAGTCGGGAGGGCCGAGCATATTGTCGTACTCAACTGGTCTAATCAACATATGCGTCGGTTTTTTAACCTTGGCATTGGATTACTTCGATGAAGCAACTTTTGAGCAACCCCAACAGACTTGCCATATGGAATGGTGTTTGTTACTATACAAAGTACGAAAACTGCCAAAACTAGCTCCAACAGACTCTTCAACACAACTCACCAAATTTGGGACCTTGAGTTCACTCTCTATATATATGGACTCTTCACCCTATTCCACAAACATTCTTTTTAGGGTAAATCTTAGTTTACTACTCTCAAGTTTCGTGATTTTCAACATTTGGTACATGACGTTTTTTTCGTCCCAATGTCATACCTAAAGTGTTAATTATGGAACAGTCTCATACATACGTTAATTTTGGAACAGTCTCATACATCCGTCAAATCACTGTGCGCATCCAATCACTGAACCCACATTTCCTCGTCGCCGATGCTGACCAATCTGCGGTCGCATTTGAGGGCGAGCTTGGTGACGGCGCAACAGAGCACATGACCGTCGCAACAAAACTCCAAACTAAATGGGGGTGCTCAAAGAGGTGGCGGTATCCTCTGCTATCAACGCTGTGTTGGGCTTGCAACGAGAAGGTTCACAAAGTGAACAAGCTCACGAGTTTCTTCTGTCCTCCCACATGCCCAATTTTGAGTTTATAGTTTGCAAAAGTTGTTGGGTGATTGAATTTTGTTTGAATTTTTTAGTTTGATTTGCAGGTGGCAATTGGTAATTAGGTTTTGCTTGAATTTTTCAGTTTGAAGTAGGATTTGTAGGAGGTAGTTGTGCGACCTAGAAGATTTAGCTTTTGGTAATTTTAATTTTGGATTCCGGCAATTGGGTTTTGCTTTTGTAATCAAATTATTGGATGTTCTTGAAAGAGATCCAGAGTTTGTGTAAGAACTCTTCATGGTCTCCGTCGGTTTTGAGGTATTTGCAAGGAAAGGTGGGTCCGGCTAAACTGGAAGAAGAGGTGGCTGAAGGGTGAGGTAAGAGAGGAAGGTTGGGTGGGACACGGAGGAGAGAAGGGAGGAGGGGATTGGGGACAGATGGGCAGATCAAACTTCCTCTGGGAGGAAGACGAGTAACAAAAGGTATTTTTTATTATTTTTCATTATTTTTTATTTTGTGATAAAAAAAATGTTTTTTTTTAATTTTTTTTATTTTTTAATTTCCACGTAGACCCTTTAATAACACACGGTGTCCAATCATTATCCACATAGGCATCACGTCATCAGTTAACGAGAGACTTAACAGCGAGACTAACAGATGTATGAAACTGTTCCAAAATTAACACTTTAGGTATGACTCTGGAACGAAAAAAACTTCATGTACCAAATGTTAAAAATTATGAAACTTGAGGGCAGTAAACTGAGATTT